TGGGGTAAAGCCACACAAATTTAGAGAAAGCGTCGACCACTACCAAAACATGATTGGATTGTTTTTTTGTCATATCCATGGGGCCAATGTGGTCAATATGATAGGTCTGTAACGGTTCGTCTGCCTTGTTAATCGGGTTTAAGAAACCCTATTTTTTCCCATACTTAGCCTCGCCAACTATGCACTCTACACAGGACTTCACGATAGTTTGAGCCTTCCTCTCTAAATCTGGAATGTAATAATCGCGCTGAACCAAGTCAATTGTCCTTTTGATGCCAAAATGTCCTTGTCGGTGAGCTGTGTTGATTATTTTGTTCTCCATGGCTGAAGGGATTACTATGAGCTCTTTTATACTATATATACTTTACAAATGGCTTTTATCCATTCATCCTGACGTTGAGCCTGTTGAATTCGATGTCTGACTGACTCTTGGAGCAACAAGGTATGTACGCGGCTTAAGGCGTCTACATGTTTCATCCTTGTGCCTGGACGATGCTCTATTATATACTCAAAGTCTTGTAAAAACATGGCCCAACGAGATACTTTCACTGGGACAACATTCTTCCGCATGGTCATAGCAAACGGATGGCAGTCGGTGACGATCTTAATCTTTCTTCCCAGCAAGTAGATTCTCCACTTCTTCAGAGCCTGTACTATAGCGAGTACCTCTAGCTCATAAGAAGGATATTTCTCTTCGGCATCTGTTGTCTTGCGGCTCATGTACTCTACTGGGTGAAATTCTTGATCAGCTGAATCCTTTTGAAGAAGGACTGCTCCATATCCGTACATGCTTGCATCGCAGTGGACTTCTGTAGCACTCATTTGATCGAATAACTTCAGAACAGGCGAACTAGACAAGGATAATTTTAATTGATTAAACGATGCTAGCTCTTCCTCGCCCATCTTAAAGGAAGTGTTCTTCCTAAGCAAGTTCGACAAAGGTCTGGTAATGATAGCGAAGTCTTTCACAAACCTTCGGAAACAGGATGTTAGGCCAAGATACCGTTTTTTTTTGTTCCTTTTTTGTCTCGCGGGACTGGGAAGTTTTCGACTAAACAAGTCTTCTCTGCTGGAGGTTGGATAGTTGCGTTTTCGACTATGTAGCCAAGGAATTGGACCCTCTTCTGTAAGACCTGACACTTTTTCCACTTTATAAGCATACCTGAACACATTGCGACATCTAAAACTTTCTTTAATTTCTCTAATCCTTCCCGTTCGTCCTTTGATAGAATAATCAAATCATCCATGTACAGGACAAGGGTACCGTCTTTAATTAATGGCCTGAGCACTGCAAAAATATATCGCATAAACACTGCAGGAGAATTGGAAATTCCGAATGGTACGAAGCAGAATTCATATTGAACACTTTGGCTGACGAACGCGGTGTATTGCGAGAGCTTTCCTGCACGGGGACTTGGAAAAATCCGTTTGATAAGTCCAGCGTTGTAAATACTTTCCCCTTCTGAAACTTATGTAAAACATCGTTGATCAAGGTCATAGGGAAGTTGTCGCGAATAATCTTCTGGTTCAATTTGCGGTAGTCGCAACAGAGTCTTTTAGTGCCATCTTTTTTAGCAACCAACACTATGGGTGAGGCGTATTCGGAAACACTTTGACGAATGATTCCTTCCTTAAGCCAATCCCTGATCTGCTTGTCGACTTTCTCAGTTTCCTCGTACGGTAAGCGCCTAGGTCTCTGATAGACTGGGACTTCATCGGTGAGGAGTATTTTCATTTCTACTGGGCTTGACTCTGGCTTTAATGGCTTGTAATTTTGAACTAACCCAACCACTGCTGATTTTATGTCGTTGCTCAAGTGAAGCAGATCTAAATCTGGCATGAAATTGTCTTCAATGAAATTAGATGCCATTAGCTGATGAAAAGTTTCTCTCAAGTCTGAAATGCCAGTGGAAGACGCATCTACAGTCAAATTTTGATTGTCACTATAATGAGTGAGATTTATGTCATGGTTTGGACTAATTTCATCTCTACCTAAGGTGAGATCAGACAAATGTCCAAGATCTACTGGATGAACTGCGTGGAAAACGACTCCGTTTGCTCCAATTGTTGCGGTTACTGTATTAAGGACATCGCTACCGATCACTCCTTCATAAGGGGTATCTTTGTCACGCACTACATGAAAGCACAAATCAACGTCAGCGTCATCTAACTTCGTCGCAACTGTGAACGAACCTAGAGTGTATATCTTCTTGCCACCTATTCCAATTAGCTCCTTAATATCAGGCTTGAGAATGTCGGGGTGGATGCGAGTGTAAGCCGTCTCGCAAATGATACAAATATCGCTGCCAGAATCGAATGACGCCGTAATCTGGACGCTACCAATGTTTATGTTTTTAAAAGCTCTGTTGAAAGTTAACTGTGACAGCTGCTGAATGTTTGACTTTTCATTTTTTACTTCCTTACGAGCTTCCTTGGTACCGCATTGATTTGCCTTGTGACCAAACTGATTGCACTTGAAACATTTTATACCTACTTCCTTACAATCCTTTGCAATATGATTGCTGCCACCACACTTAAAACAACGTCTGCCATCTTTGTTAGTTTTAACTAAAGAACTGTCAAACTTCAGCTTTGGCGTAAACCCCTGACTCGCGCAAATCTTCTCGTAAACCTTAAGCTTCTCACGAAACTCCTTAAGATTGGACGCCTGGTACAAACAACTTTTATTTTGCTTCGAGTCTGGTATACCCTCCACTATGTATTCTTTAATACTTTCTTCGTCCAACTTTGACTGATTTGCCAATGCGGTCATACTGTAGAAGAATTCTATCAGACTCTCTTTCTGGTTTTTCTTCCTGTTTTTGAGCATCTTGTGGACCTGTTTTGCTGTAAGCTTTTCTCCAAATTCATTTTTTAAAGCTTCTTTTAGTGCTTCCCAATCATTTATTCCAGGTTGGCTACCCAAGAATAATTTTGCAGCTCCCTTTACCAACTGTCTGCCGTAAATGAATTTTTGCAGATCAGTCCACCCAACTGTAATAGAATTAAGCTCGAAATCTGTAAGCCACTCATCAATATCCGGAGAACCATTTCCAGTGAATGCAGAAAGCGAATCCTCAATATCTCTCAGAGTGAAAGTCATGGCTAAGGGTGGAAAATCAGAAGAACCGGACTCCTCGACGTTAGTTTCCTCGTACACTGACTCCTCTGAACTTTCTGTGTTTTCCTGCTGGTCAATATTTTCTCCCTCAAAATAGGAGATGAGTCTTTCCTGTAACACTGCTTTGAGGCCTGAACTTGGTAATCTTAATTCCTTTAACTTGTCTTTAAGCTCTGCAACAGAAAATCGTGTGATCTCTTCAACATTCATATTTTTCAAACTTACAAACCTTATTTTATTTTTTAAATCAACCAAAAATGAACTGCCTACGTTTCTCTTAAATTTATAAGTAAGAACAATTTAAATGGGAATAAAATATTGTTAACGTTGCATAAAATTGTTTTCTTTTTTCAATATAATGTATGCATGTATGGATTTATACCTGCGAATCGCCTGCTGTATCTAGTCTTTTGTTACTCATCTCTGATATTTGCCACTGCTTTTCAAATTCGTCTCTGGTAAATCGTTGCAACCGCTCTGATGGATGACTGCTTTTCGAACTGCTTTTCAACTCCGTCTTCAACCGCGCCTTCAATATCGCCTTCAACCACGCCTTCAATAGCGCCTTCAACCACGCCTTCAATCACTTTCAACTTCAGTGGCGTCACTATGCCGCTTCGTATCAGTCACCTCATCTGGATCTCTGCTCCGTCGTGATCTCCTCCAGCTTTTACGTTTCTAAGTTTTCCTCCTGGTCAAGTTGTCGCTTTAGCCATTATTGTCGCTCTCTGCGACAACGGATTGTATAAACGCCTTTCGTCGTCTTCCGTTAGGAATTTACTTGTTTCCACAGAAACAATTTTGCCTTCAGATCGGCAAACTGCGCCATATATTTTGTAGTTTTGTAGTTTCAGAATTTCATTATACTTTGCAAAACTTTGTGGAATTGCGCAACATGAAAATTCTCAGCTCTCCTGGATGGTTTTTTAATCTCCCTTTCTCGTAATCACTTCAGTTTTATAACTTTCTAGTTTCTCCATTTCGTTGTGTTCATTAAACTGCGATCGACGGATTCTTAGCAGAAGAACTTGATGGTTGTTTGGCCGCGTATCACACTCAATTTTTCGTTTGTCGATTGTTCTCGGTCGAGCCCCCAAAATTGTAGAGAAAGGCTTCCGTTGCTTTCGTAAATTTATTTATTGATTATTAATAGTTTATTCTTCGATTAATACACTTCATTGATACAGTTTATATACTTAAGTTCACATATTAATTATTACTGAGACACACGCGACCTTCCTCTGCTGATGCTCAATCTCTACTACTTTTGCGCATTTTTCACGCTTTTTAACACTACCGAAAAATGTTACGGAACAGAACAACTGATCTGTTATCAATAGGGCTGCCAATCCTACATGTATGCAACAAAAAAATATGTTTACATATAATGAATATCGGGGCCATTCAATGTAACTTATTACTCGGCTAGATTTCGTATTGTGAGTAATTTAGCTCATCATATTTGGAACTGATTGATTGCAAAAGCTCCTTTACAATCCGTTTTTGTTTTACGCTTAGTAACTAAACATGCTAAAAAGTTAAATAATGCAGGCAAATCATTGGCTACGGATAAAAATAAAAAGAGGGGGAAAAAAGGCATGGGAAGATGGCTTTAGTTTTGGTTTTTGCTTTTAGTAATACTATTTTAGAAGAGATAGAACAGGGTGGGTTGCGGTGATGGTGAGGGAGTGCAGCTAGTTTTGGCCGGGTGCTACATAAGTCTTTTATAGCTCTGTACTAAATCGTACTAAAATCAATAGGACACGAAGTGCACTTAGTACAGTTCCAGTTTGAATGCCGCTTGAATGATAGGTCTGTTCTAAAATTGTTCTGAACGGCTATCAACTAGCTTACTGTCTACTACTTTATATAATTGCAAGTGTACTAAAACGTGCTAAAGCGGCATAGTGGTGCTCCAGAGTGTGCTTAATATAGTAGGCACTCGCCTAGTGAAATCCCTAGTAAATCCCTTTCGGTTCTCAAACAGACACACTAAGCAACAGACAAAATGTACAAAATGTGGGCGCAGTTTTACATCTAACAATAGTTAGATAATTTCTAGGAAGCGGAGCCTCTCCTCCTAAATGGTGGGCTTCTATTCTCCAACGTTCCCAGTACTAGAGTAGGCTTTCAGAATATCCTTGATGGCTGCCTGGGTGCCAAAGGTCAGGGCTGCAAAGCCGCACAAGGTGATGACGGCGTTCTTTCACAGTATTCAGTTGTACTGACCGAAACCAGTCTCCCAATGGACAATGAGCTCAATAACCACAGGGAAGATCAATCGCAGGATGGAGAAGCAGATGGCACCGATGAGACCCATGAATGGGCCAATTTTAGGAACAGCCACGGCCAGAACAACGGCAGCAGTCACCATCACTGTACGCAGCACATAATTGGCCGAAGTCGGACGCTTCTTGCACTTCTCCTTGATGCCTTCCCACACGATCTCCAGGCACACAAAAAATTGCAGTCCAAATGTGCAATACTCGGCCAGGGAAATGAGCACCTTAAAAGCCTGGGCGGGCCACTCGGCGATGGGCAGATTCAGGGTGATACTCTCCTCGGTTCCAGCACCATAGCGCAGATAGCCAAGGAACCCCAGCGGCCTGTAGATAAGGGTCACACCGGACATACCCTGGGTGAGCACTCCACAAATTCCGAGGAAGCTCTGCGGCGTCTTCATGTTGTTCTCCAGCGGCATAACCACACCGATGGCCTCCATCGCGAAGATGGTGATCGAGAAGAATTGCGGCAGAGTGTGCCAGGACACGTACTCGCGACTCTCCACCGGTGGCAGATCCTGCACAAGGTAGTAGAACGAGAGAAGAAGCTTAGCATCGCAACTGTCTCTGCGAAAAAAACTTTTAGCCATGAAATTAAAAGGTGACACTTCACTTCTTAATCATTTTAATTTCTTCGATGATCTCATTACTGAACTTATCGCGTCAGGAGCAAAGTTAGATGGTATGGGTAAAATTTCCCATTTACTCCTAACTCTTTCACCCAGTTATGATGGAGTTATAACCGCAATAGAGACTCTATCTGAAAGTAACTTAACATAGCTTTTGTAAAAACACGACTTCTTGACCAAGAGATTAAGCTTAGGAATATAAGTAAGGATACGAGTGTTAAAGTTTTGCAAGCAGTAAGTAAAAAGGAGGTAAAAGATATAAAATTTAAAAATAATCCAATGCAGAAGTTCAAGAAGAATCAGTTTAAGCCAATTTTCAAACCGAAACCAAAATGTTTTCATTGCGGTAAGCCAGGTCATTTAAAGAAAGATTGTTTCCTTTTGAAAAGGCAGCCGAATCAGAACTTTAGTGAAAATAAAAGAAAAGATGGGCAGGCTAAGATGGCAACAGCAGCAAAAGCCCAAGCAGAGCTTAGTTTTGCCTTCATGTTGAGAAATGCAACTTCCAATTCAAAGACAGTATCCTAGACTCAGGAGCATCCTAGACTCAGGAGCATCCTAGACTCAGGAGCATCCTAGACTCAGGAGCATCGTACCACCTTATAAATGACACAGCATTGTTCTCCAGATGGCAACAGCAGCAACAGTCCAAGCAGAGTTTTGCCTTCATGTTGAGAAATGCAACTTCCAATTCAAAGTCAAGCGAGGCTGAGTTTATCCTAGACTCAGGAGCATCGGACCAGTAAAATATTTACGTCTAAAATGTCTAATAGTGCTGAGTATCGATTATGACATGAAAGGTTAGGCCACATAAGTGTAGAAAAATTAGAAATAAAACGAAATAGTCGTTTTGAAGATACTAATATATTAAAGAACATTGATTTAAACCATGAATTATGCGAGGCTTGTATAAATGGCACGCAAGCTAGATTTAAGTTTCAAAAATTAAAAAATAAAGAAAATATTACACGACCATTGTTAATTGTCCATTCCGATGTCTGTGGTCCAATAACACCCTCTACCATTGATAATAAGAACTACTATGTAGTTTTTTATTGATCAGTATACACATTACTGTGCTACCTATTTAATAACTTATAAGTCGGATGTGTTTTTCGTTTTCAAAGACTTTGTAGCGAAGGGGAGGCTCACTTTAATTTAAAAATTGTGAATTTATATATCGATAATGGAAGGGCATATCTTTCTAACGAAATGCGTGATTTCTGTGTCGAAAAAGGCATCAGCTATCATTCCACAATCCTCATACTCCACAATTGAATGGTGTATCTGAACGGATGATTCGAACAATAAACGAAAAGGCTCGATCTATGATCAGTTGTGCTAAGCTCAATAAGCATTTTTGGGGTGAGGCTGTTTTAACAGCAAGCTATTTAATTAACAGATCCCCAAGTAGAGATGTGGCATAACAAAAAGCCAACGTTGAAATATCTTAAAATATTTGGTTCGACGGAATATGCTTTGAATAAAATACGAAAAAGAAAGTTTGACGAAAAGTTAATTAAAGTTATACTTGTTGGATATGAACCAAATGGTTGCGGTCTGTTGCGGTCTGAGGAATCGAGGAAATTTATGACAGCAAGAGATGTTGTGTTGGATGAAATAAACATGTTAAAATAAAGAGTTTTACATGGGGAAGATTTTGAGGTTCAAAGTAATACTGTTGAACTAGGTAATGAATTTTTAAGTAGAGGAAATGAAGATTTGGTTTTTCCTTTGATGGAAAATACTGAATCTGTTGATTCTGAGTTAAGTAAACAACTCAATAAAAATTCCACATGTCTAGAAAATGCCGATCGTCGTTGAAGCTGATAATAAATTAAAAGAAAATAAAAGTGAAGAAGAAATCAGACTCAGTTAAAGAATTAAAAGTAAACCCAAATTATCGTATCGATATGCTTAAATGATATTCCTAATACCTTTGATGAAATTACCTTTCAGGGGAAAGCTATTCAAGATGAACTTAGTTCTCATTTTCAATATAATACTTGGTCCTTAGTGCTAAGCCAGAAAATAAAAACATAGTTGATTGCAGATGGGTATTAAGTATAAAACAAGATGAATTTGGGAACTTTGTAAAGTACAAAGCAAGACTTGTAGCGCGGAACTTCGCTCAATAATATATGACTGATTATGATGAGACATTTGCACCAGTTGCACGAATTTCCAGTTTTAGATTTATGTTGGCACTTTCAAATCAATACGATTTAATGGTTCGTTATATGGAAGTAAAAACTGCTTTTTTAAACGGAACTCTAAAGGATGAAATCTACATGAGCGTTCCAAAAGGCCTGAATCCCTCTTATGAGAAAAAAGTATGTAAACTTAATAAAGCTGTATATGGTCTTAAGCAAGCTGCTAGATGTTGGATTTAAAAACTTAGGAGTTTATCAGTGTATTTATATTTTGGATGAGGGAGATATTTCGAGAAATATATATATCTTGTTATATGTGGATGATGTAGTGATTGCTACAATTAAATCTGATACAATGTCCAATTTTAAATCTTACCTTCATGACAAGTTTCAAATGACTTATTAACGTGAATTGGACACTTTATTGACATAAAAATTTATAAAACTAATGAAGAGATTTGGGTTAGTCAGTCAGCATATATTAAAAATGTATTGAGAACATTAAATATGGAAGATTGTAATTCAGTTAGTACTCCCCTCCCAAGTAAGTTAGACTATACAGCTCTGCAATCCGAAAATTATGTGATGCACCGTGTAGAAATTTAATTGGTTGTGTGATGTACATAATGCTATGTACACGGCCCGACTTTAGTTTTTTAATAAGTATTCTAAGCATATATACAAACAACAACAAAAGGGAACTATGGCAATGCCTTAAAAGAGTTCTTAGATATCTGAAGGGAATTGTTAATATTAAGCTTAGATTCAAGAAAGTAGCTAATTTTTATAATATTCTTACAGGATATGTAGATTCCGATTGGGCTGGAAATGAAACTGACAGAAGAAGTACCACTGGGTATCTTTTTAAATTGTTTGAAAATTGTTTGGTTTCATGGAGTACCATGAAGCAAAAGTCGGTTGCTGCTTCATCTAATGAAGCAGAATGTATGGCCTTGTTCGAAGGTGTAAGAGAAGCTCTTTGGCTAAAACCACTAATAAATGAGATTAATCTAGAATTAAGTAATCCTATAGATATTTTTGAAGACAACCAAGGTTGTATAAGTATTGCAAAAAATCATACTTGCCATAAGAGAACAAAGCACATAGATATTAAATATCACTTTACAAGAGAGCAAATTGGAAAGAAACTAATTTGTGTAAAGTATATTTCCACAGACCTGCAACTAGCGGACATATTGACGAAGCCATTACCATCTGCACGGTTTATTTCCCTGAGAAGCCCGCTGCGACTTTCTGAATAAACCAACTACGAACCTTGTGGACTGTTGCTGAAAATGCATCGCTTTTAGAAGCCAAACATGAAATGGATCTCATGAAGTCTTTTGTGATTAATTTAAATTGAACTGAATTCATATTCTTGTTTATTTTTTCCAATGGATCTCATGAAGTACTTGTAATTAATTTCAATTTTCATATTTACTATTTATTCCTGTTTAATTTCATTTGTCAAAGCTTTAATAATGTTAATTTTCTTGAATGGATCTAGTTGGGTTTTACTGGGTTTCCCCAACTCTTGCAGCAAATGCTGGATCTAATGTATCCCCAGAATTTAAAAACAAAAGAAATGAAATGAAGAAACCAATTAAAACTAAAGCATAAACTCATGTCAGGAATTAAAGTGATAATCAATGTTACTTTTGAGGCGGCGTGTTGGAGTTTGCATGTTCAAATATACAAAAGTCACATGGATAATTGTGCAATTCATGTTTGCATGAATGTATGTGTACGAGAGATAGACGCACATTCCGATGTCTAGGTTTCCTAGGAAACCGCTCAAGGAAACGGGACCATCGTGCTTCTTCATCTCATCTTCTCGTCGTTTATTTTCTTTCTCGATATTCTCGTTCACTTCGATTCTGGCGCTGAGAGCGTGCGGTTCACACAATCTAAGTTTGCTATATTACTTGTTCATTGGGAGGTTGTCTGTTTAATACTTAATTGTATTATATCTTTTCATTAACATAACCATTATTATATATACTGTTGGTTCAAGCAAGCTACCTTTGGGCACTCCAGCTTCAATTGGATGGTATTCAGAGAGGTAATCTTTACATCGTACTGCGAAACTTCTATGCACAAGGTATGACTCCAATATTTTATGGGTGTTCTGTGTAAGCAATGTTTTAATTTTGTAAATTAATTAATTTATGATCAAGGCTGGGACTTGTCCTTTCCGGCTTTATGGATCACAGTTATGTCAGAATTTCTCCATTGTTGTGCCTAATAGCTTCTGGAATGATGTTTGTTGGGAGCACAAAGATGTTTGTTGATGGAAGTGGTTTAAAGACTTTTCCAGATATGGGGGAAATATATTTGCTCTCTCTTCATTGCTGCTAGTCCAATTTCCTGTTTGTCTGTGTGAAGGTGTCGATTGGTATGGTGCATGGTTTATCGGTTGGTGGACTTACGAGGGTGGTCCGATAAGTACTTAGCCTCCAAAAGAAACAAGGAAGAACGCTATAGTCGAGTACCTCGACTATCAGACACCCGTTACTCAAAGGGAAATGGAGATATGCAAGCAGCAAAGCGAAATTAAAATGCGCCACCTACCGGCGGTAGACAGATTTAAGCGTTATGGGCGTTAGAGTGGGCGTGGCAAATTTATTTTTGGATCAATCGATAGGTATTGACGACACCAATACATTTCAGTTCAAATTTTTCATCTAGCATCCAAATTGTGGGCGTCACAGGTTTTCGCGGTTTGTGGGCGTTTAAGTGGGCGTGGCAAACTTTTGTTTAGGTCAATCGATAGGTATTGATGAGAACAATACATTTCAGTTAAAATTTTCTATCTAGCATCAAAACTGTAGGAGTTTCAGTTTTGGGCGGTTTGGGGGCGTTAGAGTGGGCGTGGCAGTCTACTGAAACAAACTTGCGCTGCGTAAGAAGCTCAGGAATTTTTACGCCAAATCTCAATAGCCTAACTCTCATAGTTTCCGAGATCTCAGCGTTCATCCGGACAGACAGACGGACAGACGGACAGACGGTCAGACGGACAGACGGACAGACGGACAGACGGACAGACGGACAGACGGACAGACGGACAGACGGACATGGCTAGATCGACTTGATCCTGATCAAGAATATATATACTTTATGGGGTCGGAAACGCTTCCTTCTGCCTGTTACATACTTTCCGACGAATCTAGTATACCCTTTTACTCTACGAGTAACGGGTATAAAAAGAAAATTTTGGAAAAGTGGCGATTTATCTCTCAACATAATCTCTTTAGCTTGATTCACTTGACCCAGCGATGCTCCAACTTCTTTAACCCGACTAAAAAAATACGTTTTCTCGAGGTCTGAGAAATAGGCCTCTGTGGCGGCGACGACCTCCTCATTCGACGCAAATTTCTGTCCAGCGAGTGACTTTTTCAAGCTTGGGAACAAAAAGAAGTCACACGGAGCCAAATCTAGAGAATATGGGGGATGGGGAAGCAGTTCGTAGCCTAATTCGACCAATTTGGCCTTGGCGAGGGCGGAAGTGTGAGCTGGTGCGTTGTCATGATGGAAGAGCACTTTTTCTTCGCCAAATGGGGCCGTGTTTTCTGCAATAGGCCCAATAATTCGGCATATTACAGCCCTATGACCGTTTTGCCCTTCTCCAGGTAGTCGATGTAGATCACACCTTGTGAGTCCCAAAAAACGGTGGCCATCACCTTTCAAGCCGATGGGACAGTCTTCGCCTTCTTCGGAGCAGGTTCGCCGGGTGAAGTCCACTGTTTCGACTGTTCCTTGGTCTCTGGTGCGCACCAGTGGATCCATGTTTCGTCGACGGTCACGAAGCGACGCAGAAACTCCATCGAATTGCGCTTAAACAGCGTCAAACACTGCTCTGAAGTGGTCCCACGGTTGCGTTTGTTGTCCGGAGTGAGCCAACGCGGCACCCATCGCCCTAACAGCTTTCTCATGCCCAAAATTTCATGCAGGATATGACCCACGCGGTCTTTTGATATGCCTACTTTCTCAGCTATCTCGCGTATCTTCAATCGGCGGTCTGCCAATACGACATTGTTGATTTTTGTCACGTTATCCTCCGTGGTAGCCGTTTTCGGGGCACCTGGGAGTGGCTCATCAAAAACCGACGTGCGATTACGTTGAAACTCGTTAAACCGATTTTTGACGGTCGCCATCGAAGGAGAAGAGTCACCGTACACAGCATCCAAGCGCTCTTTGATTTCGCAGCGCGATTTTCTTTGCAAAAACAAGAATCGAAATTTCGACAGTAGCCGTCTACGAGAAGTACTACACGATAGTACATTTCTCTTGCGATAGTGACGCCATCGGGCGGTGAGGCTAAGTACTTATCGGACTGCCCTCATATGCCTGATTTAGCTTTTCACAGTGAATATCGTTTGCTGTTTAGGGAGCGTTGCTCCAAATAGGATAATTGAGATCGATTTTTTTAATCTTCAAGAAGGTAGTAGGCTGTTTTAGGCCACTCTTTTAAAGCAGGCGAAGCCTTCGCTTATTGCATATCAGTTCGCTAATATGCCCAGAAACCGATAGAATAGGGGTCGAGTGTCAACTTAGCTGTCCATCTCTGCTTTAAGGGGGGCACTCTATGAAATGGGTTCAAAAATTCGATTTTTTTTTATTGCTTTAATCGATAGATATATTATCTGAGAACATAATTGCAAAGTTTCAAAGTCGAATTCCTATTACTTTCGGAGATATAATTTCTAGAATTTGCTCGTGCATAGTCATGCCAGGTGTTCGTTACTAAACTTTGAAGCGCGTTTTCTCAAAACCACGTTTTTAGAGTCCGTCTTCACGATAAAAAAAAAACCATTGAACCGATTTTCAAAAATGAACACTCATTTTGTAGGATATTGAACAGAGAAGTGCATGAACCATATAAATGCATGAAAAAAAATGTTTTTTCAATGTTTTTTCAATAAAAACAACAGAGCAAATTTCACTTTTTTGTTTTTATATGGTTTTGTTGCTAATTTTAAAAAATTTCAATAGTTTTTGAGGTTCATGCACTTGAGACAAGCCTGCTAATTAATTTGATATATAATTTGTATGTTTCAGACTTCAACTTGAGACGATATCGTGAGGACGGGGAGACAACTTTTTTAAAACCAGCCGTGGGCGATGTTCAATATGTCCGCCATTTTTAATTTTTTTTACAAACAAAACCTTGTTTTCTTAACTTCAGACTTATGTCTAAAGATATTGTAAACGGGAATATCCTGTGTTTCTTGGTTGATTTACAATAAAAAGAAGAAAACTGACAATCTTTTCTGCCGTTTCATAGAGTGCCCCCCTTTAAGTACGTGCTTGGGAGGCCATCAATACGGATACTTTCATACTTTCTGTATTTAAGCCAATCTGTTTTACTGAAAGTTAGTGTGTGTGGATGGTCGATGAATTTTCTGTTAAGTGTTCTACGTCAACATGAGCTCAAGGCACTCTTCTTGTAACGGCAAAATCAATCAAGTCAGGGTTCTTATTAGAATCTGGCGACCAATATGTAGGCTTACCTGGAGAGATAAGGTCAGGCTTGTTTCTTGGTGCTATTATAGCCTTGTACAGTTGCCTTCCCTTGGGGTTTTTGAGTCCAGATACCCAATGTGTGTGTTTTGCATTGTAATCACCAGCCGCTAAATAACGGTCACCTATTAGGTCAAAGAAATGTACAAAATCTTCTCGAAAATGGAAAAGCGCGGTGAACACTATACAGCGGCTAGGTTTAAGAAACCGATTTGGGTATCGATGTGTATTGATGCAGCTTGTGTACAGGCTGTAGCAATTGATGGCAGCTCGTAGTTCCAGATGTGTTTCTTGATCGGTATGCCAGTACCTCCACGAGCCTTACCATCAGGATGGTTTGTTTCATAAAATGTATAGCCATTAAGGTGAAAATATTTGTTGTTTTTTAGGTGAGTCTCTGATAAAATCACGGCGTCATGTTCATGTTGATCTAGGAACTGGGACAGCTCGTATTTGTTCTGTGAATTGGCCTTCGCATTCCAGAAACATATATTTAAGGGAACCATCTATACCCATTTTTGTTTGATTAATAGTTATAGTTTGATTAATATTATATTTATAGTTACCAGCATTGATTCTACTCCATTAGGCAATTGTGTATTTGCAGATGTTGTTTGTTGCCGAACTGTATCAGCAGTGGGTTGCTGACCTGTCAGCTTAGATGCTAAGTCCCGTTGTTGTAACCTAACTTCTGTGCAAAAGAATGGTTCTCCTTATTTATGGGGCAGGCCTCAGCTGGATGTGCATTCCCGCAGGCAACGCAGACTGCGCGTAGAGTGTAGTAAGTTGTGGCAATTCATGCATTGCAATGCATTGTACGGGTCCATTCCGTTTGTGGGGTTCCTCAACGGTGATCCTAAGGTGCAATAGATATTGAAGCTAGTAAATTGGGTGAACTTTACTTTTTTTTAATGCATACTTTCCGGCGCCAACTCTACCTTGAAAATTGGCTTTGGAACTTTGTTTTTATTTAATATATTCCTAACTTTCAGTTTGGTAGGTGTAGTAATTTATTGGGCCACTGATTGATAATTTGGTTCACTTGTATTTTTGATTCGTTTGTGTTAAACCTTTTTTAAGGATTTAACATAGAACTTGCTTGCTCCAATTTTATTAGTTATTTTTTTAACCAATTTACCTAACGTTCAAAAATTGGTGGTGGCTTTAGTTTCTTGGCCTTAAGTGTTTGAGCGGTAACATCGTGTTCTTTTGGGTCCTTAAGAATAGAAAATCGTTTTCTTGTCAGGGCCTTGTTTGGCACAGAGGTTTCGACTTTCTTGATGCACGTGTCGATCGATTCCAGTTTGAATTAATGATCCGAAAACACTTTTCGTATTTTTTGGTTTGGTAGGGGCTAGCTTGCCAGTAGGAACTGACGAAACACAACTACAGTTGATGAGGTAGTAGTGGTGTTTGTTGTCGTCGTTTATGTCTAAGTCACCGTTTTAAACGAGGGAATTGTGCTGGTCCTTGTTGTAATAAGCAGACCGTTGGTTATGTTGTAGGGGTCGGGGGACAGGCATTGGGTACCCACGGCTGTTTTTGTGCTGTGTTGCTTGGACACAATATAGCGGGGGAGAGCGAGCGTGCTCTCTCCGAACTCGCTTGAAGTTTGCAGTTGTTGTTGGTTCTGATAACTCTTCCGCTCTTGTGGAGAAGTAAGTGTTTACGTCAAAAGGGCGTTTAATTGGAGGAGGCAGTGTCGAGCGGCAGTTTTATCCAGATGTCTACATCTCGCGCGCTCGCACTGCCGTCCGCTCTCCATCTTTCCCCTAAGTCTCCTCTCCGCTGGCAAGCGCTTAAGTTAAGTTAGGCTTAACTAGTTCTTATTTCCAAGTGTACCAATAAACACCTATGCACGCCACGTAAAAAGCTCAAATTACCACTCGCGTTTTTTGCGAACCCTTCGTTCTTTGGACTTCATCTAATTCAGCGATCAAGCCGCCCTCCCCAACATTTTGGTCCTTCGAGCCGGTTTTCCAAATCTTTGGATTTTCCTCTCCTGGAGTTTCGTTTGATTTTTTCCCAGCAGGCTCTTACCGCTCCAGGTAAGTTCCACTTCCATTATTTGACGGTCATACAGCCAGTTTTTCGAACCCTATTTCGACTAACTTTCTGTATGGTATATTGCCTAAATCCAAAAGTGATTAATCCGACGCACCGGCATTGAATAGATGTAATAGATGTCCACAATTGTACAATTGAAAAAATTCCGGTAGCTATTTCAGTGCCACTATTCAACTAAAATGATTCTGAAATATATTTTCAATTCCACTTGTGTGTAAAATATAATTCAGTCACAGTAAAAATTCCCGATCATAACATTTTTCCTTATGTTTTCCACTCTTTATTATACCCGTTACTCGTAGAGTAGAAGGGTATACTAGATTCGTCGGAAAGTATGTAACAGGCAAACGGAAGCGTTTCCGACCCCATAAAGCATATATATTTTTGATCAGGATCACTAGCCGAGTCGATCCAACCAATATCCGTCTGTCCGTCTTTCCGCCTGTTCGTATGAACGCTGACATCTCGGAAACTATAAGAGCTGGGCTATTGGGATTTGCCATGCAGACTCCTGAGCAAATTTGTTTCAGCAGGATGCCACGCCCACTCGAACGCCCACAAACCTCCCAAGACTGTGGCTCCTACAGTGTCGATGCTAGAATAAAAATTTTATCTGAAATGTATTGCTCTCAGCAATACCTATCCATTGACCCAAAAAAAGTTTGCCACGTCCACAAGCCGCCCACAAACTTAAAAACGTTAATATGAACGCGGATATCTCGGAAACTATCATATATAGGGTATTGTTACGGCCTCTCTAACGTCCACAAGCCGCCCAAACCTTTGGTGCCCACAATTTTTATGCTAGATAAAAAATTTTAATTGAAATGTCTTAGTCTCGTCAATACCTATAGATTGATCCAAAAAAAAGTTTGCCACGCTTACTCTAACAAACACAAGCCGCCTAAGCCTGTGAAGGCCACAATTTTTATAATAGAAAAGAATTTTAACTGAAATGTATTAGTCTCGTCAATTCCTATTGATTGACCCAAAAAAAGTTTGCGATGCCCACTCTAACGCCCATAACGCTTAAATCTGTCTACGGCCCACATAACCTTATATTAAGATCGCGGGTAGGTGGCGCATTTCAACATCGCTTTGCTGCTTGCATATCTCCATTTCCATTTTGTCCCTTTTGTTGAGTAACGGGTATCTGATAGTCGAGGTACTCGTCTATAGCGGTTCTTGTTTCTTGTTTTTTACTGTGTTCCAGCTGCGTGTGTATATTTACATAAATATTCTAAAAAAGTCCACTCTAAGTACTCTTTATTATACAGTTCAAATACTTTTCTCGAAATACGGCTAAATTATTACTAAAGTTAAAAAGAAAGTTACAATATCCACAAATTTACTCCAGCAAATCGTTGGAATTTAGTTGTGCAGGTGACAAACAAACGCATTGACAAACGAACATAATCGAAGTCTTTACAATTCCCGCAACGTTATTCCACTATTCGCACCCCACATATGTTCATATGTACAGTGTACATACATACGTATATCGATATTTTCGCCAGTGCACAGTGGGTCAAAACAGCGAATCTTCATCATTTACAAAAAGAAAATAAGAATATCAAAGCGAAGAGCATGGGCGTATATCTGTAGTAGGTTAGAATCTACTGCGGATGCATCCAGACTCAGAAGAATTTTAGCAAAATCTCCAGCAACCATTGGCTACCTAAAAACCAATGCTGACAGCTTGACGGAAAACACTCAAGAAACCCTTGAACTCCTGTTAGACACCCATTTCCCTAAAAACGCCCAAGCAGTGGAGGATCTCTACATAGAGGAGAACCTTGACGACCAGAGCATAGACAACATCTCAAACCCTGACCGCACCAAGTGGGCTATTATCTCTTTTAAGCCCTTCAAATCCCCAGGCCCGTACGGGTTCTTCCGGGCCCAGCTACAACAGACACTTGATATATCCCTACCCTGGCTGACAACCATCTTCCACGGCTGCCTAGCACGAAACCACATCCCATCAAGGTGGCTGGACGTTAAATTAATTTTTATACCGAAAGCCGGCAAGCCCTCCCACACCAACTTAAAGGACTTCGGCTCGATAAGTCTCTCTTCCTTCTTGTTGAAAACCCTAGAAAGGCTAATTGACATCAATATTAGGCTAACTATTAACCCAAGCCTACTCTCCGACGGACAACATGTGTACCGTAAAGGCAGATCAACAGATACCGCCCTCCGCTCTCTAGTATTCCGCAATAAGGAATACTCTCTGGAAGCGTTTCTAGACATAGAAGGCGCCATCAACAACGTCACCCCAACGGCTATCACTGGCCTATAGTACGACTCATACACACCGTGCTTACCAGCTTACCTTGCAAACTACTATCACTTCTAGAAGAAGCGGGCACTAAAGTGGTAGCCTACGCGGATAATGTGGTTATCCAACTTCAGGGTAAATTCCCGCAAACTCTTTGCAGTCTAATGGAGACAGCCCTATCCACCCTCTCAAGGTGAACAGCAGATTGTGGACTGCGAGTTAAGCCAGAAAAGAACGAACTAGTTGTATTCACAAGGAAGTATAAGATATCAAGTCTAACTCTCACAAAACTACAACAAACGCTCCTAACCCTCAGCAACCAAGCAAAGTACTTAGGTGTCATCCTTAACAAAAAGCTCCACTGGACAGACAACATCCTAGATCGCACACGCAAAGCGGCCATAGCACTGTTCGCTTGTAAAAAAGCCACAGGGAGGAAGTGGGGTTTCTCCCCCGTAATATTAAACTGGCTATACACTGCAATTGTCCTGCCCGTTCTTCTCTACGGAAACATCGTGTGGAGGCCTTCCCTAGAAATTAATTGTAACCTCAGATCCTTCACAAGATTCAAAGAAGCGCAGAGCTCTACATCAGTGGGCTGCTCCGTACCACCGCCACTGAAGCACTAAACACAATCTTCGACCTTCAACCCCTGGACCTACTTTCCAAAAGCTGAGTATCTGCAACAGCGCTGAGGCTCCGCGAAGCAGCGGCATGGACAACAGGCTCAACGGGTCACTCCAGTATCCTAAAAAATCAGATATCCATACCACTACGTTTCACCCATAGTCAACTTCGAAAGAAGATAGAAGATCTTCTTACCCACCCTAACAGACTGGAACAACCTCCCACACCAATTCGAAAACGCCGTCAACATATACACATACGGCTCCAAGCTTAACTCCCAAACAGGTGGGGGAGTTTTCTCTCCCGAACTGGACATACAAGTCTCATTCCATCTACCAGACCACTGTAGTGTGTTCTAAGCGGAAGTTATGGCAACTCAGGAAGCCATGTCCCACCTGGATACATCAGTACATCACGACACAGACATCTTCATCTTTTCGGACAGTCAAGCAGACCTCAGGGCCCTTGACTCCTACACAACAAACTCAACAACTATCTCTGAATGCCGCAAATCTCTGAACGAGTTAGCCACTGATCTGAGAATCAACCTCATCTGGGTGCCTGGATACAATTATATTGAGGGCAACTGCATAGCAGACGGCCGACATCCTCCTCCGACATTCTCCGCGATAAGGACACGGTGGGTATGCCCATGGCTACCTGCAAGCTCCACCTAAGGCAGAGACTGTACATACTTTCCAACAACCGTTGGAACTCAATCTCAACATGCCACAATTCCAGACTCACGTGGCCAAATTACAACCCAAAACTCTTCCACTCACCCAAATCCCCTCACGGGCCATTGTCTTTTAGGGACTCACGCGCGCTGGCTGGGACTCATTAACCATGACTTCTGCCGCAGCTGCAAGCAGATAGACGAAGAGGAGAGCATTGAACACCTCCAAAGCTTCTGCCCAGCGCATAACCTAAAGCGCTTTCAAGCTCTATGTTTCCTAAACAGAACAAACTGTTTACGGCGTATTACAAGGGGCCCTGTGTGGCCTAAGTGGGGGCATTAGTTATGTAATCTCCAACCACACCTACTTAACCAAACCAAACCTAACCTAACAACGTACAAATTATAATCAATAGCAAGCAAAGTCGACCACAGCTTCGCTTCCTAAATAAAAATTTTTATAATTCGTTACCTTTGATTTGATTTTACCTTTGCTACTTTAACTAAATTTAAATCAGTATTCATTTTCACACCACCATAGAGGTAGAGGTCTTTCCTCGATTTTCCTATTCCACAATGCATATTTTTGATTGGACTCTTACCTTTTAATTTTTGGACATTCTCTCTGGAGCTAGAATAACTAAAGAACCTGCCACATAGAACTGACCATGAGAGAAACAATCGTCTCTTAAGTTAGGTCCAGCAATTTTTGGAGTCTGTCCTTGTTATTGCAAAGCAAACTATTACGGGAAACTGTATTTTCAAATTGAAAGGGTAAACTTGATGGTATTGGGGGATTCGTGGTATAAAAACTGTTTGTACCCAAAAATACTCAACAAGACAACACCCAACAAATCAAGAAGCCAAGTTGGGAACAGTACCAGGCGCTCAGTAGCACTCAGTGCAGATGAGTATTGCTGATCAGCATATTATATGTCGCACTAACTCACCATCTCACCGACTCAACGGCACACTGACCCGCCAATGAAGTCAGCACATGTTGCAGTGTCAGTACCAGGCGCTCAGTAGCACCCACTGCACACGAGAAGTGCTGATCAGCATATTATATGTCTCACTAACTCACCGTCTCACCGACTCAACGGCACACTGACGCGCCAATGCAGTCAGCACATGTCGCAGTGTCAGCCGAGCCAACTACACAAACTGCTACCACAATCATAATTCCCTGACCTACTTTAGAATATAGCTTATTTCACTAATCATTACACTAAAATTCCGTGTTCCAAGTAGTATATAAGCAGGTATCAAATGAAGAATAAATCAGTTATCAACACACCTCTTAACTCCGCGGTTCTACTTCCTACATCTGGGAATAGGGATCGTAATACACTATCTCAACTAGCAGCTAACCACGTTAGCTCTCCTCAGCGCAGCTCAGCATCGCCTGTGGCCCGGCATAGCAGTAACCATCGTTACCATTGCCGCTTTGTCCTGCCAGCAAAGCGTCCCAGTGCCAGCGACAAGTACTCATTACCCCCTTGTCCCGCGGTGTGAT